GTGGGAGTAAACAATGTCCCCTTTTTGGTATTAGGGGTAGGAATAGTGCCCCATCATTGGTATTAGAGGGAGGAATAATGGCTCATCGTTGGTATTAGAGGGAGGAATAATGGGCCCATTGTTGATGTGTTCCCAGTGAGGAATAGTGCCCTTTCATTGGTATTAGAGGGAGGAATAATGGCCCATGTTGATGTCAGTGGGGAGGAATAGTGCCCAAGATGCACTGGCTCATTTGTGTCAGTGGAAGGAATAGTGCCCCATCATTGATGTCAGTGGGAGGAATAGTGCCCCATCATTGGTGTCAGTGGGAGGTGCCCCATCATTTGGTGTCAGTGGAGGAATAGTGCCCCCATCATTTGGTGTCAGTGGGGAGGAATAGTGCCCCATCATTGGTGTCAGTGGGAGGAATAGTGCCCCATCATTGGTGTCAGTGGGAGGACAAATAGTACCCCTATCATTGGTGTCAGGTTGCAGAGGAATAGTGCCATGTTGTAGGTGTCAGTGGCAGGTATACTTAAATGGGATTGGTATACAGTGGGGGGACTATAAAGGAAAGCAGTTGCCAGATAAAAGTAAGCAAAGGACTGAACATGGAGGCCTTTGGATAGCAGTTTGAAGACCATTGGTCTATGGCTACAGATAACTCATGTCTGTACTAAGTTAATTGAATCACTGGGGGTATATTCAAGTAAATTCAATTCGTGGAGTTAGGACCTTACAAAGTGCTCTTTTAATGTATGACTGTACAAGATGACTCAGATGCCCCCTCACTTTCAAGGATGGGGGGGGAGAGGGAGGAGGGGTTGAATAGGATGAAGAGAAGGGAAGAGAAAGGAAAAGTTTGCCGTCCTGAATGTTGGGATACTGAATTGCCATTTAACACACAGTGCTATTATTGTATTTACTTGCAATGTCAAACTGGCCAAAACACTCATTTGATTTTATAGGAGTTGAATAATTTTTGGTCACAACCGATTGTTATGGTCACTACCCCCTTTTATTTATGGAATAGGCATCTTGGCTAATATGGTTAAAACCTCCACCTGGCACCTCTAGGCTTGTTGGGAAAAAATCAAAAAAAGAAATTCACCACTGTACCTGTTGATGTAGTGGATGTGCATCTACCCTGGCCTGAATTTCACTTTGCAAGGGGCATTTCCCATAGCTTTTTGAATGTGAAAATCAATTCACTTTCAAAGAAAACCAAAATTGCAAGAATATTTTTGCTTTGCACCTAATTTTTGCTATACACATTTCCTTTGAAACATTTATTCCCTTTGTATCTGGATCACAAGCTTTTCTAATATAACCTTTAGGTTTTTGTTTTGGAAAAAATTACTTAGAATTATAAAACTTAAAGAGGCAAGAAAAGCAAATTATGCATAATGTCACACAAAACCCCAAAAAATGGGCTGCTGGAAAAGGCACCCTTCTACTTAATATTCAACAGGTAATAAAACACCCTTTGGAAAAGCAGTTAAATATAAATCATGTCTGCTTCCTATCTAAACTTCCAATAAGTTCAATTTACACCTCACCTAATTATGCTAAAAAAAAACCTGGACCACTCTTCCTTTGCAAAAGTGGCTCCAGGTCTCTATTATTGGAATAACACCTTTTCCCAACAGCAAAAGCTTTTTTGATCTCTCCACAGGTGTTCAACTGCTGGGATTTAGTTGGGCTCATTGCTGGCCATCTTCAGTGGTTCTCCAGCGCTTCTTTGCATCCATTTCTGACTTGCTTTTTGACGTATGTTTTGGGGTTAAATTTTCCTGCTGGAAGACCCAGGAGGGAATCTTGGACGCAAACCCAGTAGCTTTCTGACACTGGGCCCTACAGTGCGACCCAAAATCCTTTGGTAATCCTCAGATTTCATGATGCCTTGCACAACAGTCAAGGCACTTTTTGGTATTGCCAGAGGCAGCAAAAAACCCCAATGGCTAAATAACATGGTCATTGAAGTTTGAGGGATATTTTACAATAGGTCCCTGTGTTTTGATTCTTTGTAGGATCATGCCCCGTTTATCATTGGTATAAACAGGGAGGAATAATGGCCCTCGTCTATTAGATGGGAGGAATATCTGTCCCCAAGACGTTTTCAGTGGGGAAGGAATAGTGCCAATCTTATTCAAGTATTTGGGAGCAAATAGTATGTCTTGCTTTTTTTATGTCAGTGGGAGGAATAGTGCCCCATCATTGGTGTCAGTGGGTTTACTGGAATAGTGCCCCATCATTTTCATTTAAATGTGGGAGGAATAGTTCGCGCTGACACTCATTGGTGTCAGTGGGAGGAACTAAGTGCCCCATCTTTGGTGTCATGTTTGGGGGAGGAATAGTCCCCCATCATTGGGAATTTGCGAATTGTGCAATAGTTTTCATCAAATTTTCCTCATTGTATGAGTCAGGGAGGAATAGTGCCCTACAGTGCCATGGGGAATACAAACTTGTCAGTTGATAATGTTGCCCACCTGTGGATAAAAGTAGGCATCTAGTTCTCAGTGGGATGGACTTGTAACCTTGAGATTGTTGAGCAGTTTGAAGCACCAATTGGTCTATGGCTACAGAGTTCTCATGTCTTTATACTGTCCATGCTTAGTCAAGAAGACACACAATGCAAAGGTTAAGGAGTTACGTCTCCCTTTTTACTTTCAAGGATGGGGGGGTGATTTCTAGGGGGTGGGAGAGGATGAAGAGAAGGGAAAGGAGAAAGGAAAAGTGCCCCAGAATGTGGATACTGAATTGCCATTTAACACACAGTTCTTATTTATTTACCCCGACGTTAGTTGTGGAAATGACAATACTTTTGATGCCCAGCCCATTATAGGAGTTTGTGTGACATTATGTCGAATTTGCTTTCTTTCCCCTCATTTTTATTGTTTTGTGTCCCAATACACACAAAGGGAATAAACATGTGTATAGCAAAACATGTGTTAAAAATTCGTTTCTTGAGAAATACATGACTTTTCCTGGAGAAATATCAAGGGTTGCCAACAATTTCGGCTGACTGATCATATATGTCATTTTTTGCCCATAATCCCCTTCTAAATCTGCTCTCTTTGTGATTTAGTGGAGGAGACCCTCATTTTTGCTCTGCCAGACAAATATTCACTTTGAGTTGTAATCCTCCAGAAACGCAGAGTAGGGGTACTTTTGTTCATAATACTAAAATTATTTGTTCCCATTGTTTTTTTGTTGTCTGTAAACCAATTTGGGGAGAGCCCCTAGAGCACCTATACATATTTTTAGATAGAAGATGCTGCCAATCTGGATTTATTTTTAACAGAAGGTGTCATTTCCACCTTAATGTGTATATTTTGCCTCGATTCTTGCTTCATATGACATTATTTTACGGTTGCAGAATTAAAACGCTTCAACGATCTTTGGAGATAAGCCAGAAAAAACGATGGAAACAAAAAACCCGAAACACCTGCACACAGACACTGAACAGCTCTGTTTGATACAAAACCGATTAGCCTGGTGGAAGATGAGCACCTGATGGTTTTCAGTTTCAAACCATTCCTCGTGTTTTTGAACAGCTGCCATCCTCCTGTACGACAAACTGCGCGCCCTGAATGGAAGAGCATCAGACAAAAACAGGCTGCTCAATGCAGCTGGACACAGGCAGGCCTGCAGGAGCAGACAGGAGAGGTCTCCAAATCCTATTCCACACAGCGGACTCCTTCCCTGTGAGCGATTACCAGGCTGATGCATTAACAGCCTCATTTTTTTCTTCTTCACTGGAGCCGAAAAAGCCCACAATGCATTGCCATGCATTCATCACAGCTACCGGTCCTACCAGCAATGATGGACTTAACAGCTTTAGGTAATGTTATTGATCAGCTTATCGATCGACCTTTTGTCCCTATGAAAAAAAAGAGCAGCTGCCTTTTTTATGTGGTTAAAAAAGGCGATATTAAACAAATGTAAGCAAAGCAAACTGAATTGATTGTGGGCTGTTCTCTCAAATGATAAAAGGACACCATTGAGGCTTAAAAAAATGCCTTTAATTTTGCATTTTTTGCCTAGCCTTTCAATTGTCTTGATTTTACTTTGTTTGCACCAGTTATTCAAGATTATTTCCTATTCAAAGCCTTGCAGTTGCTCTTGTTTAGAAGTACTCTGTGGATAGATCGATAAAGAGGTAAGTGTGCCATCGACAAGGGAGCAGGCAAAGGTTGCATTAAATGTGTTTTGTTGGGAAAAAGCCCTCCGGGTAAACTATCCAGTGCCTTGAAAAAGTATTCATACCCCTTGAAATTTTTCACATTTTGTCATGTTGCAACCAAAAACGTGAATGTACTTTATTGGGATTTTCTGTGATAGACTGACACAAAGTGTAACAAAATTGTGAAGTGGAAGGAAGATGCTAACTGATTTTAAAAATTTTTTACAAATAAATATCTGAAAAGTGTGGTGTGCATTTGTATTCAGCCTCCTTTACTTTGATACCCCTAACTAAAATCTAGTAGAACCAATTGCCTTCAGAAGTCACCTAATTAGTAAATAGAGTCCACCTGGGTGTAATTTAACCTCCCTAGCGTTCTGATTATGTCAGTATTTCTGTGCTCAAAGTGGTAAATTTTTTTTGCATGGAAATATGTCATTTTTTTTATTGTAGGCCTGTAATTTTTAGGAATAACTCACTAAAATCTGTCCGAACAAGAGTCTAGTAAACATCCTGGGTATGATAGAATTTGAAACATAAAATCATAAATTATAATATAATAAATAATCATAAAAAATAATAATATAATAATAAATTTAAATCAATAATATAATGAAACCAAAAACACTTTGAAATAGAGCGCCAAGTTCGCACATCACTGAGCAAAGTCGCAAAATCGTTTTCAGTGTCTGATGACGAATTTCCCCCACGAATCATTATCACTCAATTCTGCAAGTGGTTCTGATTTACTATCGCTGTTCTCTAGCCGGTCTAAAACCACTTTTGACCTAAAGGGACGCTTTTTGGACGCCATGGACGTTTCTCAGTTTCAAGCAGAAAGAACAGTAAAAATGCAGGCAGGGCGCCGGACAAAGCACTCGGGACAAAATGTATGTGAAATGGTTTGATACAGGAATGTTTTACTATGTGATTTTAGTGTATGTCCCTTTTACAATTTTAAAATTTCCTGCCAGTTCTGTCCCCCGTACATCCCGACGTCGCAGGAACGGAACCCGGAAGACAAATGCCGGCATCGGCCAGAGGACATTGCCAGGGACACTGCAGGGGAGAGATCGCGGGAGCGCAGGACAAGGTAAGTGAAGAAGTGATCCCGGAGCAACGCTGCAGGGTATTCCCGAGTGTAGCTCGGGGTTACCGCTTGTGGTGCTGAGACTTTACCCCGAGCTACACTCAGGAATACCGCCAGGGATGTTAAAGCAGGTTTAGGTTATAAAAGAATATCCCAAGCTTCGACATCTCATGGAGCACTGTTCAATCCTTCATCCAAAAATTGAAAGAGTATGGCACAACTGCAAACCTACCAAGATATGGCCATCCACCTAAACTTACAGGCCGGGCAAGGAAAGCATTCATCAGAGAAGAAGCCAAGAGGCCCATGGTAGCACTGGAGAAGCTCCAGAGATTCACAGCTCAGGTGGGAGAATCTTTCCACAGGACAACTATTAGTCGTGCACTCCACAAATCTGGCTTTTATGGCTGAGTGACTAGAAGAAAGACAATATTGAAAGAAAGCTAAAGGAAGTCCCATCAGTAGGTTGTGAGAAGCCATTTAGGGGATACAACAAATATGTGGAAGAAGGTGCTCTTGTCAGATGCGACCAAAATTGAACTTTTTGGCCTAAAAGCAAAATGCTATGTGTGGTGGAAAAACTAACACGACACATCAAAACAAACGAACCCCCACCGTGAAACATGGTGGTGGCATCATCATGTTGTGGGGATGCTTTTCTTCAGCTGGGACAGGAAAGCTGATCAGAGTTGAAGGGAAGCTAGATGGAGCCAAATACAGGGTAATCTTTGAAGAAAACCTGTTAGAGTCTGCAAAATACTTGAGACTGGGGTGCAGGTTCACCTTCCAGTAGGACAACAACCCGAAACATACAGCCAGAGCTACAATGGAATGGTTTTTAGATCAAAGCATATTCACGTGTTAGAATTTCCCTAAATCCTATTGAGAATCTGTGGCGAGACTTGAAAATTGCTGTTCAAAGACACTCTCCATCCAATCTGGCAGACTTGAGCTATTTTGCAAAGAAGAATGGGCAGAAATGTTCCTCTCTAGATGTGCAAAGCTGGTGGAGACATCCCAAAAAGACTTGCAGCTGGAATTGCAGCAAAAGGTGGTTCTACAAAGTATTGACTCCGGGGGGCTGAATACAAATGCACGCCACACTTTTCACAGATTTTTTTGTATAAAATTTTAAAAACCATTTATCATCTTTCCTTCCACTTCACAATATTGTGCCACTTTTTGTTGGTCTATCGCATAAAATCCCAATAAAATACATTTATGTTTTGGTTGTAACATGACAAAATGTGGAAAATTTCAAGGAGTAAAATACTTTTTCAAGGCACTTTATGCATTGGCAAGGATTGTAAGAACTATTTTGCGGATGTATATATTTCTCAGTTCCTAAAAATTTATATTTGCTTAGCCACATTTCTATGTGGGGGGCTGAGACTTCTTTATCAACACCTGAGCAATCTTAGTATTCTAATGAAAAAGTTCAAGTGTCTGCATCCCATTAGAATCTTGGACTGAATCCCTATCAATATAACACTTGCATATGCCCAGGGGCAGACTGACAACTCATGGGGCCCCCGAGCAATAGGAGATCATGGGGCCCCTGTGTGTCCTTGCCCAAACTCAAAAAAAACCTATGAAAAAGGTACCAAGGGCATCTCATGGGGCCCCCTACTGACCCCGGGCCCTCGGGCAGTGCCCGAGTTTCCAAATGGTCAGTTCACCCCTGTGCGTGCAGTTACATTGACATGTACATTTTATGGCCAATAGTTGGACACCTGACCATCACACTCTACAGTCATGGCCGAAATTGTTGGCACCCTTGATATTTCTCCAGGAAATCATGTATTTCTCACGAAACGTATTGCATTAACACATGTTTTGCTATACACATGTTTATTCCCTTTGTGTGTATTGGGACAAAACAAAAAAAAGAGGAGGAAAGAAAGCAAATTCGACATAATGTCACACAAACCTCCAAAAATGGGCTGGACAAAAGTATTGGCACCCTTTCACAAACTGCGGATAAATAAGAATGTTACAAGCACTGTGATGCTCCTGTAAACTCACCTGGGGGCAAGTAACAGGTGTGGGCAATATAGAAATCACACCTGAAAGCAGATAAAAAGGAGAGACGTTCACTTAAACCTTTGCATTGTGTGTCTGTCTGGCCACACTAAGCATGGACAACAGAAAGAGGAGACGAGAACTGTCTGAGGGACCTGAGAACCAAAATTGTGGCAAAATATCAACAAATCTCAAGGTTACAAGTCCATCTCCAGAGAACTAGATTTGCCTTTGTCCACAGTGCGCAACATTATCAAGAAGTTTGCAACCCATGGCACTGTAGCTAATCTCCCTGGTCGTGGACGGATGAGGAAAATTGATGAAAGATTGCAACGCAGAATAGTCCGGATGGTGGATAAGCAGCCCCAAACATGTTCCAAAGACATTCAAGCTGTCCTGCAGGCTCAGGGAGCATCAGTGTCAGCGCGAACTATCCGTCGACATTTTAAATGAAATGAAACGCTATGGCAGGAGACCCAGGAGGACCCACTGCTGACACAGAGACATAAAAAAGCAAGACTACAGTTTGCCAAATGTACTTGAGTAAGCCAAAAAAGCCTTCTGGGAAAAACGTCTTGTGGACAGATGAGACCAAGATAGAGCTTTTCGGTTAAAGCACATCATTCTACTGTTTACCGAAAACGGAATGAGGCCTACAAAGAACAAAACACAGTACCTACGGTAAAATATGGTGGAGGTTCAATGATGGTTTTGGGGTTGTTTTGCTGCCTCTGGCACTGGGTGCCTTGACTGTGTGCAAGGCATCATGAAATCTGAGGATTACCAAAGGATTTTGGGTCGCACTGTAGGGCCCAGTGTCAGAAAGCTGGGTTTGCGTCCAAGATCCTGGGTCTTCCAGCAGGACAATGACCCCAAAACATACGTCAAAAAGCACTCAGAAATGGATGGCAAAGAAGCGCTGGAGAGTTCTGAAGTGGCCAGCAATGAGCCCAGATCTAAATCCCATTGAACACCTGTGGAGAGATCTTAAAAATTGCTGTTGGGAAAAGGTGTCCTTCCAATAAGGAGAGACCTGGAGCTGTTTGCAAAGGAAGAGTGGTCCAAAATTCCGGGTGAGAGGGTCAGAAGCTTATTGATGGTTATAGGAGCGAGCTGATTTCAGTTATGTTTTCCAAAGGGTGTGCAACCAAATATTAAGTTAAGGGTGCCAATACTTTTGTCCAGCCCATTTTTGGGGTTTTGTGTGACATTATGTCATATTTGCTTTTCTGCCTCTGGTTTTATATTTGTTCCAATACATACAAAGGGAATAAACATGTGTATAGCAAAACATGTGTTAATGCCAATACCTTTTTTGTGTGAAATACTTGATTTTTCAGGAAAAATATCAAGGGTTGCCAACAATTTCGGCCATGGACTGTATAAGAGCTTGTTGGACATCCAATACCATAACCATTGGCATTAATGGGAAGTTGGAGCTTTGCAACTATTAACAGCCTCCACTTTTCTGGTAGACCATTCCACAGGATTCTGGAGGGAGTCTGTGGGAATTGGTGCCAATTCAGCCAAAAGAGCATTTGTGAGGTCAGGTGCTGATGTTGAAAGAGAAGACCTGTCTTGTAGTCAGCCTTCCAATTCATCCCAAAGATGTTTAGAAGGGTTGAGGTCAGGGGACTGGTCAGGTGCAGGCCACTTGAGTTCCTCCACACGAAACTCATAAAAACCTGTGTTTACGGACCTGATTTTGTGCACAGGGGCCCATTTGTGTTAGAACAGAAAATAGACCTTCCTCAAACTGTTTCCACAAGGCTGCAAAAGCACAATTATCTAATTGGACAGCTATGTGCTTGATTTTTAGGCACTTGGTTTTAGTATGGGATGCCCAACAAGAGCTTATGTAAGGTTTGATGGTCGGGTGTCCACAAATATTTTAGCAATATCATAATGGCTGCTCTGCTTTTGGCACTTCATCTAAAGTTAGATGTCACAAAAGCTGCCAACAGAACGTCCAACAAAGTTGTAAGCCCACAGTTGTCTAAAAAATGTTTGTATGCTGCAACCTTAACAGTACCTCCACTGGAAAAACCTGGGCTCAATCATTTGGAAGGTTATCCACATACATTTGGCCATATAGTGGGTATGACGGCCAGGTGTCCACACACATTTGGCCATATAGTGTACCTCAGATCAGTCATCTGAAAAATGTAAATTAAAAAAAAAATCATAAAATACTGTCAATGCAGTCCTCTTGGGGAGGGGGTACAGAGCCTGAAGTTGGCCATTAAATGTATGCCAAAGGTAAATGGATATTCTTTTTCACATTCATCCACTTTTGATTAAAACTAGTAGCTTTTCAATCTAATGACAATTACCAGTGAACATTCGAAGTGTCAATATACACGGCGGCATTGCACAATTAATCCGCTGGGTGTGCGACGATAAGAGCATAAAACGCAGATTATTGTAATTTTCCTTAATACTTTTATCCAAAGAATAAACTCCTCAACATTTACTTAACAAATAAAAAAGAGATTCACTTTTTAATTATGCCTCTCTTCTGACATTCTGAAGAAGTGGAAAAACTGAAAATAAATTGTAAAATCTTTTGCTCGCAGTATGTGGTATAAAAAGATTATGCACATCGTTTCTATCTGCAGTCACTGAAAATCACGACTTATTGGACTTTGGTGAAATTATACATTATGAAAGCAAAGAAGGAAGGGTGAGCTTATAAGGATTTAATCTCCGCTCTGAAAAAAAGAAAGCTTCTGTTCATTTCTTGAAATTGTGCCGATTATGTAGAAAAAAGGAAAAACTAAAGGCTGCGTTGAATGATTGATCTCTTGAAAAAAAAAATAAAAGGACATCTTAGCTCTTTTATTTAAGAAGTTAATGAAAAACGGTCATTAACGTAAAAAAAAAAAGAAAAAAAACTACAGGATACCTTTGATGATCTCACCTACTGAAAATGCTAGTTGTATGGCTGTCATGTTGTTTGTCTGGCTTGTATATTTTGAGCCAGGGACCTGAACAACTAAGCACATAAAGACTTCTGACTATACTGACTTTCCCAATTTGTATGCTTCCTGATCA